TATCCACAATTTTAATGGTCTCTATATATATTCATTATCATGAATAGTTGATAAATCGCTTGAATAATGAGTTCGCCAGTGTATTCATCAACCGAACACCTATAACAATACATTTTTGCCGTGCTTAGTCTAAAGGATAGAACTAAATCCTATTTATAGTTTTCCTTATTCCTTCAGTTGTATTTATGAGAATTTTTATTTCTTTTTAAGTTATAATTATTTCACCAAAATGGTTTGCACACACAGTGTGTTACGTCTCAGATAAAATCTCACTGTTATTTGCAATTCCTTCTGAGTTATCACCACAAATTCTTTATTTTGTAAACAGTTGATTCAGTTTCGTGTATACCGTTACTGCAAGTGAGGTGACTTGCTGACAAAGCCATTGAATTCCGTCACAAAAGAGTTGAATAAATTTTCGTTGTTTAATTAAATGGTTAGCTAGTACTATTTTGATGGTGTGGATACTTACCTATTATGCAAATCAATCAGTTGTATACGTTGTAAAATTATTGCAACCCTCCCTTTTGTGACAGAAAGTCGTTAAAATATAGTTGTCCTTTACTGTATGAGATCCAGTGGGAAGTTTAATTTTCTCATTAATTACCTATAATGGTATAGTTATTAAATGTAAAGCCAACGTGGAAAGGATAGACGAATTTTCCAACTTCACTTAGTCTTAGTTGCCGTCTTCCTAAGAATTGTTGAGGGTAGATAACAGCAGAACGTCAGAACACGACAGTATTTCGTAGTAGAATTGCTGTTAGTTGGCAGAATGATGTACAGCTATCATATTTAAAATACTTAATAATGAAATCTCCATTTGCAGATGTTCTTCATACTATGCTGTGTTGTCTGCTTTTAATCCTTTCTATATTGTTGCACAAGTATCTTTCGTTCCTTCTCTTCGTAACTTAGTCCGTCTCTCACAGAAGATAACACATACAACATACTACTTACAAGTTCTCGTCAGTCAACTTCCCGACTCGAATGGATAATATTCTAGATCTTGTGTTCACAAATGACATTGGAATATTTGAAGCTCGGAAAAGAGCCCCACTACTTAACTCTGATCACTGCATCATAAGAGTATTGCCCAAGGTATATGGAAAGCTGCACAAAAGGGTCTTCTCCCACCTTGGAAAGATAACACAACACAGATGTTATTCACATGATAACATACAGAATCTAAGGACAATGTTAAAAGACACAAACTGGGACCTGTTTACTGAACAAGCTCTTGACAACACAATTAGTAACATGACACATTATCTCAATTTCTGTCTTGATGTTTGTTGTCCTAAAGAGACAATCTTCTTAAAGTTCGACCGTTTCGCCTCTTCTCAACTCAAAAAGCTTCGCCGTGAAAAAGAGAGGTTGTACAAAATGAGAAATAAATCTGGCGTTAAGAGAATGAACACTTTAATTAAAGCCGAATTACAAAGACTAAATGCTCTCTACAACCAGAAGTTTCTTTCATGTAAATCCTCATCTAATATGTGGAAGCTATTAAAGGAAATCACAGGTGGTAAGCAAATAATGAATGATACTTCCGTTGATGTTGATATGCTTAATAAATCCTTCATATGTATCCCTGCAGATGTTATGATTCCCAAATCTAATAGTATAAATAATGACTGCTTCTCATGTTTTAACACGAATGATGTCCTCAAGTGTCTTCAATCTCTCAAACCTACCCAGTCCCTTGGTCCTGATGGAGTTCCTGCTGTTATCCTTAAGAAGTGTGCTGACATCTTATGTTACCCATTAACCGACATTTTCAATGAATCTTCTTCCAAAAGTATTATTCCTGACTCATGGAAAAATATCAAGGTTGTTCCAGTGCCCAAATCAACAAGTGGACCTACTGTCAAGTTTAGACCCATTGCTATTACCTCACCTTTTTTAAAAGTTATGGAAAGACTTATTTTACTTAATCTTGAACCCTCTTTAAAGCCTTTTAATGACCCCAACCAGTTTGCCTATAAACATAGTAGGTGTACCTTAGATGCCGCTGTAGTTCTATATCATAATATAGTCTCTAGTTTAGATAGAGGAGCCAAATATGTTCGGTGTGCCTTCCTTGACTACACATCTGCATTTGACTCTGTACCTAGGTCTCTCTTGTTAAGTAAGCTTGCTGCAACACAGAGTGAGAGCTGGATAAATAAGTGGTTGTATTCCTACTTTTCTGATAGGAAGCAGTACACTGTCTACAATGGAAAGTCCTCCACTACCTCACTTACTTTAGCTGGTGTTCCTCAAGGTGCTGTTCTTTCTCCTTTTCTGTTTTCTTTTTTCTTACATGACTTGCCCCATTCTGATGTAGCAAATTTTGTCAAGTATGCTGATGACCTCTCTGTCTCCATGCCTGTCAACTCTCAGTCAGACTGTTCCATATTAAATAACTTTCTGTCGGAAATTAGTCAGTGGTCCTCTTCAAACGGTCTTAAGCTGAATCCGTCTGAATGTCAGGTAGTAAATTTTACTTTCAGACGAAAAAGTGACCTTCAACAACTGGCTAGCTCACATGGTCCCACTATCATTGACGGCATAGAGGTTGAAACTACATCTAATGTCAAGTACCTTGGACTGAGTATTTCCTCCGATCTTTCCTGGTCCTCTCACATCTTGCTAGTGACTAGAAAGATGTTCCGCTTAACGTTCTACGTTAGGAAGTTTAGGCAGTCTGGTATAAAGCAGTCTTTGCTTTCTCAATTTGTCAATTCCTGTATTCTACCCATCCCTCTTTACTGCTCCCCATTAATCTTTCCTGGACTACTTAAGAAAGACTTTGCTTCGCTGCATAGGGCACTAAAAGCTGTTAGTAGGGGAAGTGGGATTTCATTAAACCAACTGGTTAACACAATTGTGGATAGACATATAATGTCATGTAAGAAACTGGCGAATTCTATATTGTCAGACCCCGAACACCCTCTCCATACGCAGCTCTCTCCTTGCATTTCATCTGGTAGAACTAGAAGCAACTATAGGAAGCTATATGCCAGGACTACCAAGTATAAAAACTCCACAATACCTTATCTGGCACAGCTGTTGTGTGATGAGAAAACTGTTAGGTATGACACGATCAACTTACTGCGGCACTCTAACAAATAGTTCCCATTGGCTTTTGTTCTCCTTTCTTTGTTACTATTATATTGTTGCTCATATATTCTATTACGAACTAATTTTATATATCATATCCTGTGGTGCATTGTTTAAATATGTGAATGCAATGCTGTTCTTTTTTATTTCTTTTATTTCTCTTTTTTTCTTTTGTTGTTGTTGCTTTATATTTTAAATCCTTAAAAATTTATGAGGTAATTAGATGCAATATTGTAATGAACGCTGAAAATTCCATACCTGTACCACAAATACTGTTTGGAATAAAGCCATTATTATTATTATTATATCCTAGTAGAATAGACGGTTTATGCATTCTTTCATACTGCTTTTCGAATTTATAATATTTCCGACTGATGTCTGAATTTATAAGCAGAATAGGGGACTCTTCAGTTCGGTGTTAAGAAAGAAACGCATTACTTAAACATTACAGAAATATTGGCCTCTATAACTAAATGAAAAGTGGAATTAGGACTGATATATCTATAGAATATCATTAAAATGATCTCGCTTTAGATTTATACAATTTAGAAATCTTTGAACTATGGATTTACATATTTGATACCTGATGTCGTCAATAAATAAAACGTAACTATAAGGTGTGTAACACACCACTTTTGATTAATTCTGTCTTATTTAGATAAGTTAATTATTATTATAAAAGTTTGTCTATTTCCCAATGAATGGAAAAACGAAACGACATTGTTTCTACTGACGCACCTCTATTTAATTCTCCTAATAGCTTTATCAAAGTAATATTAAACCAGAACTTACACAGTTTCAGCTTATGTACATTAGCTTAGTCACCACTCTTGAGGTAATTTTACGTTGTCAAACGGATGGACTGGTAAAGACAACAAACCATGTGCAGATTGTTGGATATGATAAGTGTATGATACCATATGTTTACATAGTGAAATCGCCTATCTTATGTGTTGATTTTGCCAATTCATGCCGACAAATGTCGAAACCAGGTCAAATTCTGTCTTCATCCCTCATTCATACTCAGACAGTTACGATTCAATTTTACTAGAATTACTTCTGATATGAAAAGCTTTTGTGATTTTCGAAATTTTCCTGGATGACTTCATTATTGAAAAAAAAACTGTTGTGATCTGATTCTGTAGCGTGTAGACCTATGGATGACGATTTTTCAAGCCTGCTAGATTTCTCGACAGTTAAACAAAGCCTCAGTGATGTTCCTTTCTTCTCATCTTTTATTTCTTGTGTGGTTTGTCTGATAAATATCGCGCCACATTCTAAGCATTTAATCATATGGACTCAATTAGATTGAGAATCCTTTGAAATTTGATCTTTTACATGGATAAGGTTGCTTTGTAGTGTGTCTGATCTTTTGAAGTAAAGACGGATATTGTGCTTATTGAGCACTCTTCAGATATCGGCTGACGTTTCTCATCTATATGGAATGACAACTGTTAAGGTTCATATCTTTGGAATTTTTTCGATCATATTTAATGTCAGAGTTGATTTTGTTGACGAAGTTCTTTGGGTAGTTATTTTTATTGAGAATATCAGAAGTGTTTGGTATTTCCTCCTATTTCTCCTCCTCATCTATTATCATCTTAGAAGACTTGAGACAAATGATATCTTCACACTGATTAGATGTAATGATTTAAAGTCTTAGTAATTGTTTGAGTATGTTTTCTTTCTGAGTGTAGACATATTAAAACATCTATTTTCTTTTTCTCTTAACTAGGCAATTTAAAAAATAGTTTTGTCACTCCATTTTTATAGGTAAAAACACAAACTTTTATAATCATGAATATCATATACCAAATTTGTTTAAAACACTATTAAATGTGAATTTTATTTGGATATGTGTATAAGATAATTTTTATTTGCTTATAAAATTGTAGATGCAACTGTATATGCTCAGCTAGTATTCAGATCATTCGATCAAGAACATAATGGAACATTAACATTTGAAGTAAGTTGATACTACATACATATTTATTTATTTTTCCTACTAAATAGTTGTTAACTACTAAATTATAGTAAACGAATGTTTCTTCTTAGTATGAATCTCTGCTTCTCCTTTCTCAATGTAAATAAAGCCAAAAGCTTTACTTAAACTATGAACATCGTTATTTATTTTTATATAAATAAATAACTTAAAGTGAGTGAATGAAAACAATACAAACTGGATCTATAGAATTCTGGCTATACTAACAACTAAAATGATGTATCATCGACTACATGCCTTTGATGATAACAGTCAAAATAATAAGGCATTAATGTACAAACTGAATAAGAAAACGAAAAATATATAGGGTCAAAGTAGGGTATTTGTCAGTTCTTCTGTTCGTGGGAAGCTAGCTGTATCAGTTGTTTAACGCCGATTTTGTTCAAAAGGGTGGAAGAACACTATCTTACTTAATTACGAAGAAGTGAATTGGGTCTAAAAGAAGCTCAGTAAATTAACATTCAGCCGATACTCGTTACCGTATTTCTAAAGTCTCTCCCTTTAAATTACCTACAGGGCGAAAAATAACCTGCCCAAATCATAACGTATTCGACTCATTTGTAATGCTGAAAGTTATAGGTTCGATTCATGCTGGTAGGATCATCGGTGAGTACTGCTGGAGTCCCAAATAAGGACGAAGCAATTGTCCAGCACTCCCCAGTTTCTAACGGTCCTCTAAATGCAGTCAGTTTATGATCAGACTTGAAAGGAATGGAGAGATTTTAGTAAAATATTACGGACTCAGATGCTAAGGGTTAATGCTCGCATTGATAGGTACATAAGAAAAAATAGACTAAATGTTCTGGGATCTTAATCTACTAAATATTATAACCATTTATTCACTGGTCAGCTGTGAAGATCACAATAATTGACATTGTTTCCGAATAACTTCGTACAGAATTGCAACAGTCCAAGTTGCCATACTGTGTAACAGCAGAAGGCAAGACACGGAAGTCAGGGTATCTTTTCAATTGATCAAACCGCTGCTTACATATACAGTTTATATTCCCCAACCATTCACTGAGTGTGTGATTTCGGTTTACATTAAACGACATGAAACAGAATGTTCAAATATATATATGGTATTCTGTTGCTAATACTGTATTGAACTGTGGGAATAATATTCTGACTCTAGCAACAAACAGAATGTTCAAACAGATATATTGTATTCTGTGGCTAATGCCGTATTGAACTGTCAGAATGTGTGAGAATAATATTCGGTTGGAACACATTGCCTGTATCACACCATCACAACTGCACGTAGTACACAAAGGTAGAGAAAATCAAAAAAAGAGAAATTCAAAAAAACTATTATGTCAGAAATGTGCGCGAGAAAGAATAGTCATATGGAAAAGCATGAGGGTTTAATGGGTCTGTGAGGTCACAAAGAGTGAATTCATCTGCACCATTGACGTCGAGTTGATCTATATCATCAACAGTCTCAAGCTACTGGCTTTAAGCATCTTGAACTCCCCAGGCAGGCAGTTTACATCCCCCCTACGTAGCTGGCTAAATCCAACTGTAAGAGACTTTATGTGTTGAGTGAAGGTTTTTGTTTCACCAACCCCTCGCTGCTTTCCAACCGATGTCACCTGACATTGCTGGTAGAGGAAAGCGGTGACTTGGCGTGCGTAGCAGGTGTCTTAGCCATCTCAGTCGATGTATTCCATTTTTGGGAAAATTTTGTTTTAATAAAGTCTTACAGTGTTATACAGTAATGTTAACTGATGACGTTTCGAGCACAATTTATTGCTCATAATCATATCAAGGTATTCACACGACTTCCTGAATTCATTTATATAATTCCGTTGTTTTCCACTTGATTTGATTGGTAGTAATATTTTCCATATTTCGGGTATGAGTGACGATTCATTTCTATTGCATGTGTTGGGTGTAGATTCGATGAACAAGGATTCAGTAATCAACCTCTCTCTCCACCTACCTAGATTACATTTTAGAATTTTAACCCTATCCCACCCTATTGTGTGGTTGTGTGCTAATGCATGCATTGCAATTGCTGAGCTTTTTTCTAAATTACTTATCTTCTCTGGGTCAACCATTCTTACCTTAGCTAAATTCTTATGTTCTGACAATCTGACTACCCCTGACCTACTAGTTTGACCTATGTAGTTGACCTCACTCACAGTCATTGCAGGGTACTTTGTAAATTATACTATTTTGTCTAATTGGGTCAACTGGGTCCTTTAACCTACAGAGCTTGTCCCTGAGTGAGTTTGTAGGTTTAAATGCCACCCTAATTCCGTCTTTATTTGGAATCCAATCAAGTGAAAATCAAGTGAAAAACAATGGAACTATATAAATGAATTTAGGAAGTCGTGTGAATACCTTGATATGATTATGAGTAATAAATTGTGCTCGAAACGTCATCAGTTAACATTACTGTATAACACTGTAAGACTTTATCAAAACAAAAATTTACCCATAATGGAATTACACTCTACCACACTGCACAAGTTTTATTCTTATATCAGTCGATGTGTCTTCAAAACCTCATCGTCTGAATTTCCTATCTTACCCTGAATATTTCTCAAAAGAACGTATTGCTTAACACGGGAGATAGTATGCAACGTTTTTTCTACAGTTTAGAATTTTTAAAACAGAAATGTTATTCAGTTATTTACTAATTCCTTTTTTTAATCTTTGAAGTAGAGTGATTCGAATAATCTTTTTATCGAGTTCTCACTGACAATGTTGCTTTGCAATTTAAAGTTACTTTTAGTTATCGACCATTTTTCCTAAACAGAAAGGAACTGATTACTTTAAATGTTCAAACAATATGTCCTTAACATCATTATTTGTGTATCCTTTATCAATTGTGCTACCATACAGAATTTCGTTCACCCTAAAAATCAAGCCATATATTGACTGCAAAGAAGCTGTGGTACGAAAAGATGGGTACATTTGCATTCATTCCTAAACAAAGGGCTTCATACTTAAACCTTGAAGTTCCAGTAGCAGTGGCGTGTTCATCACAGAGTAGGGATGCTACTTTCCCGGTCAACTTCCTCTCTTTACAGGGTTTGCTACCAGCTAAGCGAGGTATAGTATTGTGACAGCCGGAAATTGAACCGTCAACCATGTGGGTGGTTGTAAGCATTCTACCAGTGAACCACCAACCCAGATACTATATATTAACATATCAATAACTTATGTATGTATGAATATTTCAGTATTCAGAACAGTTGAACTTCCAGTAAACCAATGATCAGACATATAAATCGCTGTGTACTGAAAAGTTCAGAAAACACATACAATCAAACCCTATTTGAATCAGTGAAAATTATCAATTATCAACGAAACTTGACAAAGTAACAAATGGATTTGATAATTATAAGACACTGTCTGTGAAGTTAGCTTTTCTCATTTCACCAAAAGTTAACTTTTGACTGAAACTTAAGTAAAACAGTTTTCACTATACATTTAAATGAATGAGACTACAAAGACGAAAGCTAACTGCTATGGCTTCATCTCTGAATAATGACTAGTAGCTCTGAGGATATGAGTAATTCCGATAAAGGCTCTGGTCTTTATGGATTATTTACAGAACCAGTTAAAATTCATTCCATTCTACGTGCTTCTAGTGTAAAGGAAATACAGTTTAATTTGTCTAGTAACTCAGAGGTATAATTATCTGAATTCTCAATTTCCTCGAAGTAATCAGTGTGGTGTTTCTACAACGTGCTGAAAATTTTAGGGAATATATATGTGTATTAGATAATAAAATGCATTTGGAAACAGTGGGAAACGAGAAGACAGGGATATCCTGGACCGACGTGAAGAACCTAGAAGACCTCGATTTGGCGGATGATTTATGTTTGATGTTACACAAAATCGAAGAATTACAAGCGAAAACCGACAAACTGGTCGAAGAAGCAGCAAAGACAGGACTCCAGGTGAACATAGACAAGACGGAGGTTATGAAAATAACCAACCAACAACAACAGCAATATCCAGCGCCAATCACCATCAACGGGAGGGATTTGAAAGAGGTTACTTCTTTCACTTATCTAGGGAGCATTGTCTCAACCACAGGAGGAACGGACGAGGATGTCAAATCGAGAATCGGGAAGGCGAGAAACACATTCATCAACATGAAACCAATCTGGAAATCTTCGTCACTCAACTCAGCATCAACAACAAAATTCGGATTTTCAATACAAACGTCAAGTCAGTTTTGCTATACGGATCAGAAACTTGGCGGGTCACAAAGAATATTTCCAACAGCCTGTTGCTGACCTTTATCAACAACTGTCTTCGTTCTATACTGAAGATTAGATGACCGGAAAGAATCACAAACAAGAAGCTATGGGAACAAACAAAACAGGAACCAATCGCTCAACAAATATGCAGGAGAATGTGGAGATGGATTGGATACTCGCTGAGGAGGCCGTTGGGTGACATCGCGCGTCAGGCCCTCGAGTGGAACCCGAAAGGGAAGCGGCGAGTGGGACGTCCAAGGGTGACATGGAGGAGATCGTGTGATGAGGAACTGAAACAGTATGGGTTAACATGGATGCAAGTGAAAAGTACAGCAGAAGACAGAAGCAAGTGGAGGCGTGCAGTTGAAGCCCTATGTTCCACTAGGAACCCAAGGGAACAATAATAATAATAATTTGGAAACTGTATAAAGATGACAAACAACGAAATGGTGGAATTTTCTTCAGTGCAAAATTTATTGCGTAAGGAGATTATAAAATGTATTAATGAGTGTTAAATTGTGACGATATATTCGACAGAATGCACCAAACTAAGGACCAAACACATGATACTGGTTACTAACTGGTGACCAGTCAAGGTATTTTCTTAGTGTTTATGATTCCTTTCTGAGTAGTTGTTCCCATTTTCTCCAATTAGAGGTAAATGAATATTTAATCGAAACTTGATTGCCTATTAGCAGGATTTATTGAGTGTGAGTTGTAAACGTTGGACGCCTGTAGGTTTTTATTATTTATTCTATTTTACCAGTTTTTCTCTTCTGTTAAACACTGACATAAAAATTAAATGATCAAGTGGATAACTATAGTGCTAACCTACTTCCCCTTTGTTTATTTCTATTAGCAATATATTCAGTGTTTATCATGTTTAATGCACGGTACACAAAATGATAAACTACGTTGGGCATTTCGATTATATGATATAAACGGTGATGGTTTTGTAACTAAAGGTGAAATGTTGAAAGTTGTTAATGCTATTTATGATTTACTTGGACGAAATACAGAACCACCAATTAATGAATCTACTACTGCTAATCATGTAGAAAGAGTATTTCAAGTAAGTATTATTAAAACAGATGTTTCCTTGGACAATTATTATTATTCTCTTAGTTTCCAAGTGGAGCATGGAGCTTCAATAGCACATCTCCATTTCACTCTGTTCTTCGCAATCATTTTCACCTGACTTCACGGCCTCCCATAACTTTCGTCTCCATTTCACACGTTGTTTTCTGTACCAACGACGAAAGCCACACTCGTCTTCCCCCATTTGGATTGGCCTTGAGTGTGATACCAGTCAATGGTCTCCTCAGCATGTATCAAATCCATCTCCATTTGTTTCGGTTTATTTGTTGAGCAATAGGTTCTTATTTGGTTCCTTGACAGTTTCTTGTTGCTAACCCTTAGTGACCGGCCATCTGATCTTCAGTATGCAGCCAAAGGAGACAGATAGTGATGAAAGCTTGCAGCAGGCTGTTACAAATACATTTGACGGCACGTTCCCAAGTTCCTGAACAACACAGAAGCACTGACTGGGTTGACTTAATGCTGAAAATTCGAACCCTATTTCTTATGCTGACTGCAACGCATTTCCACTCTGGTTTTAGACTAATGACAGTCTGTCTTGCCTTTCCGATCCTGGTTAATTTTGACGTCCTAATTAGCGTCACATTTAGTTGAAACGGTGCTGCCTAGATAAATGAAAGAGACTTGGTTAGAGATAGCTCACTGCAAATTTCAGTCGTACTGTTTCCTTGAACCACCTATGAGATTCAGATAGGTATTTCACTATTTTATTTGAACATAGACTTACTTGATAAAATAACACGAAAACATAGTGAGGATAAAAACGGAAACAGAATTAGTATGATTCATGAGTCATTCGGATTGTAAAACCAGTCATTATTTTTATTTTGCTCACAAAAAATCTTTTCAAAAAAATGAGAATTGCAATATGATAGCCCATAACTGAAAAGATACATCAAATTATTCAATAATATTACTTCTAGATCACCGTCCAGGATATAGGAATAAATCCATCGTTCCACCCCCGACCACACCACTTGGTAAAATCCACTACCTTTTTCAATTCTTCGAATTAATCAAAGTAGCTCATCATTTATAATGTTCTCAATTAATGGAAGTTAAAAGTAGGGTTTTGAAAAGTCAAAGATAAGAGTCCAGCACTGTAGCTGGATGGTAAATTGGTTAATTAGCAAATCTTGATGTTTCTTGATTCTATCCTGAACATGATAATGGATGTGAGTCTTCGGATAGTTTTGAATTAAAAAAAAGAGTTATCCACTGTTGTCCGTGTTTTATTAATGGCTCTTAAGCTGCTCTCACTTACCAGTATAAACTGAATTAGTTACTTGATATTATTTAGAGATATTAGAAAACAGTGCACTCCACAATTTTTAGTACATTAAGTTTGATCACGGACTGATGTCAGTTAAAGAACCGTTTAAAAACCAGGGAGTACTGGACAGTTGTTTTATCCTAGTTCGGGATTCCTCAACAGTACGTACCCGTGACCCCACTGTCATAGATGGAATCTAAGCCTCTTTGACAATTTATCCCTTCAGACTGGGTCCAATAATCCATGATTTCTAAATTGTGTCACTTTGCAGTTTCATAATTTACTCAAAAAATCCACTACTCATAAAATATGCTTAAAAGGACCTAAGCTTAGTATTTTCGGGTACTATCTACTGGCAATGAAGTTAGGTTTCAGAGTACTTATTCAGATATTTGAGGCCGTCACTTAAGCTCAAAGACCGAGTAGGTCACTCGTAACGTCATGAGAAATATGAAAATGCTTATTACTCAGTCTTTCGGTCAAAAGCATATAACCATTGAAATCTGGTGGAAATAAATCTCATGAGTTCGAAGTTTAAGAACTGAAAGACGTCAGTAAGTTGTATACAAACGTAAGCTCCCAAGGCACTTGTTCTACCGAGACCAAAGACAAATCAAAGCAACAAACTCGTCGTCTAAAATGTGAGATATAATTCGGGATCAGAAATGTAGAGCGATAATGGTTGCTTGACTAGCTAGGGTGTGTGTAAAAATGACTGAAGGTAACACGACAGTGTTCCAAATGAAGTGAATGCTTGACCGCCCACCTTCAGCTTAACAAGTCGACTTAGACAGTGAAGGTCATCACCCAGTGTTGAATGAAGAATGCTGTAGGTTAATAATTCTGGGTGATTAATTATCGCTCTAAAGTAAGAGCATTTCATTTTTCTTCATATCTCACACAAGCCATTATATTTACATATTTAAAACTTTCGTGTCATATTTTTATCAGTAAGATACAGATATTCGATAGGGTCGCTCACTTATGCGTTTTAACCTGAGACCTCCTTAGAATAATCTATGAGTGTGACTTGGAAGACAATACTTTTTCCCATACAATTAATTTAATAATATGTCGTCACCTTCAAGAGGTTTGTTAACATAGGTGAATTATATTCCAATATTCAACTTCAAATATACATATAAGACATGAATATGTATCTAACTAAAAGTGTTTAAGCACAAACCTAATTCATTATTACATTTTTCACAGAGACTGGATTTGAATCAAGATGGTGTAATTAGTTTTGAAGAGTTTTTACAGGCTTGTGCTTATGTAAGTTTAGGTTTTTTGTACCATCATTTCTTATTGTTTTGATCACAATTGTTTATAAAACGTAACTTAATTGAAACAACAGAAAAACGTTTTTGCAAATATAACATTTATTATCTTAGTTACAGCTCACTGATGAAATGAAATAGAATAGATGCATATATATAAATATATACATATATATTTCTAAAGAAGAAAAAAATTCCCAAAAAATATTTTACTCAAGAAATGCTCAGGTTTATTCTAGAATGCAGTTAAAAAAATGTCATAGTTAATCACTTTTGCATCTTTAAGTGGAAGTCAAAACCTTTAGGTTACTTGACTATAGACATTTTTTCCACATTTACTAAAAGTCCATTCATGTAATGTATAACTCAGTTTAACTGTAAAATCAGACTGACAGATTGAATTATTTCTAGCTGAAAATTAGAAAAGGTATTTTAAAATAACTTAAGAATTAATATACTAGTAATATAATGGTAATATAATAGTCAATGGTAAAAAGTAGCACATATGTATGGTGAAGTGATGTAGCGAGACTACTTATTCTTGAATAAGTAGGATAGCACGTCAGTTGCAAATTAAATAAACTGTAAAAGTGATGAAAATATAGCTAATGTAATATTGTACAGTGTGATTCATGCTAGATTTCGTTTATTCCTGTATAACAGAAATACATTGTTAAATATTCTGAAATTATTGTCTAAAGGTATAATTCAATGGATGCATTTTTCCACCTATGATATACATATATATATAAACATATATATATCGTCAAAACATGACTGTACATTTAGTTATGGTTAGCAGTGAAATACTAGGTTGCACTTAATAGTTATCGAATAATTTCCATAAATAGTAGAAAATTTTGTTTCAGTTCCAGTAATCTTAGTCAGCACTATCCACTGGAATCAACAGTTTGATTAGAACGCAAGACATTTTAATTGAACTTATTAATTATTTTTTAAATACTTCAACCTTTTAATAACCTTCGTATTGTAGGATCCTACTGTATGTGATGCTCTGGACAAACTAACCACCATTTTATGAATCACTATTGGTAATACTCACTTTCAGACAAAAAATGATTGATAAAACTCCCTATGTGCATTGTTATTCACAGTGATTGACTGATTTACTTACCCGTCTGTCACTATCACCCAATACTGCTGCCACCACTACTTCTTTTGAAACCATTAAACCATTATTTCATTGAAGTGAAAATATCTCTTTCCTGTAATTTTCTCTATTACTTCATACAAGTGCTATTGTTATTATTATTATTATTACTTAATAATCAGAAGAACAGAGTAAAAGATCATTATATTCTCTTGAAACTTTTCTCACTCATATGCGTAACCGGTAAATTTCCAACTTTTCTGTTTGTCATTTAAGGAGGCAGCCTAAAACAAAACTTCTGTTCCTGAAATACAATAGCATTACCGCACCAAGTGGTATGCAGTAAGTAATAGACTGTAGCAGATGCAACTAATCAAGGCAAAAATTCTTATATGTAGTTGCTTTCTGAGTAAATCAACGTTACACTCTACTTTTTAATAATAATAATAATAATAATAGTAGAAATTAGTCAGCCTTAAAATGTTTGCATAATCTACTAAATTTCGTTCCCTTATATTGAAGTGAATTGTTTTGATGATAATCAATAATAATCGTAACATATTGTTGACAGTCATATCTACTGATATTGTGGTGAGAGTTGTCTGCAGGCCAAAATTGTAGACAACAATTTACGTCAGTGTTTACGTCCCGAATCGGGGTCATGAGAAAAAACAATAACATAGCTTAACCTTGACGAACTCACCAACCAATTACAGAGGAGTTAAAGTGTAGAAATATGATTCACAGATATATGACCTGATTTCCTGAGAAACGGTCACAAGCAGTACAGAATAACCTTCAGCAAGAAAACAACCAGTCAGAAGACGTTGCTTCGCTGCCAACAATAACGCTAAGAATAATGTACATAAAAATCGATAAAGACCTCTTGATTTTCCCAATGAACGATCTGTTGCCTGGCTCTTGTCTTCCGTCGTTACAACATGATCCTAGCCAGCTGATGATTTAATAGCGATAAACATTGTAGGACGATGAACATACATTAGTGATAGGCATCTAGTTATTTCTAAGTTAACTGTTTGATACAAATTAGCTTGAAAAATAGTACAAATTCTGGATAATCGGTTCCAATAAAGAAATTCTGCAGAGTCACGTTGAGGTTGTGCAGAGAAGCGTTATGAAAAACACGCTGATATGGATTAAACGTTACTACCCAGTCTTGATTATTGCCTTTAGTGGCGTGCTTTATCGCGACGCACCAAATCCTGAACATCTCAAAGTATTTGTGCAGCTGGATTCTACGGTCAGACTTGGATAACTTGGTTTATTACGACCCAGGACATTAAATTCAGTTAGTACTTTGTTACTTTTAATTTAGTGACGCTGTACAGCACTATAGTATGTAAAGAAACGTACATAAATTGTCTTCTTGGCTTGAGCTGGATTAACGTTCATAAGCCGTGTGAGAGGATGTAGCCGCATTCTTTTAAGTACCCTTCAAATATTCAGTATCCTATTGATGAGCTTTTACAAACTGTATAATATCTCAACTCACCCTTCTTGTTCTTTTGGAACACTTAAGTCTTCGGCGGATTACATTTCAGTCTAAACCATCGACTGCTGCAGCTTAGCTGAAAGTAGAAAGAGGAGGTACATAAGTTTGCTTTTGACGGAATGTGTGACTAGTACCAGGATAGTAGTGCCGTGGTGATTGCAAATTTCTATCCACCTGATACTACGGTGATCACTTTTACCCATATCGAGCATACTCGATTCGCTATCGTGCAAAATTCTCTGTCCTATGAAAACTTCTCAATCAAAGTATTGGGTAATCAATTCCCACTTTTGAGACTTTCCATAAAGGGATGTCATGAGACACTGAATCGAAGGTCTATAAGCAAGACATGGGCCGAAGTGTTCTGGTCGCAGTATGCTGCCCATTTATTTCATACAGCGACTAAATTCACAGCTCAGAACCGCTCCTTCCTAAATCGTGAGCTCCGTGCCAGATGCTATTTTTATTTCAGATGTTTCTGAATGTAGCTGACTGGTAGGCTGCGAAGTTCAGGAATAGCATACCAGCAGTGCGAACGCTCAAATGACCTTGAACGCATGCCAGTGGATGGCTGAAGAAAGCTATGATTATTCTAGCGCGAAAATGAGCCCTGATCATGTGCTCAGGTGCAAATTTCACCCAGATCACATATTCCAATACTGTATGGATAATAGATTGATAGTACGTACTCGTATTTATAGTTGCGGTGCTTCAATGAGCCTGCAACCGTAGTCACAGGTCATTGATGAATATATACTTAGATGTACTGAGTGTAGAAAGCGAACAAGTGTTCGTACTGATAAGTGACACTCTCAGTTAATTGTCCTCTAGGAACTTTCTGTGCCAAATCAAAACTTTCTTTGGCGAATATACTGTTTCTTTGCCATTTTTGGATTTTGAAGTCCGGAGTGAGACCAACTGCCACTCAGACAGAAAATACTTTGACGTCTACTGTGCAGTGGTTTCAATTTTGTCGGGACTTAGCATCATGGAAAATGAATAACATTACACAAGTGTTGGGAGGAGTCGGTGTTATCGTTCACCTCGACGAAACAGTGCTTATAAAGAAGAAATACAATCGCGGATGTAGCTAACAACTTTTGGGTATTGGAAATTTATGACACCCGAATTCAGAAAAGATTCATTGAATTTATTCCAGACAGGAGTACCGACACTCTTCTGCCTATTATTCAACGACTCATTTTGCCTGGCACTACTATACACACGGATGAATGGGCAGCATATAACCGATTATCGGATTTAGGATATATACACGACCGAGTTAACCATTCCGATGACTTCGTCGATCCCAGAAAAGGCACTCGTACTAATTCTATAGAGGGTTTCTGGGGAAGATCAGAAAATAGAATAAGAGCAATAAATGGCTCTCAAAACCAAGTTATTTTTAGTCACCTTGATGAACATATGTATAGAAATTGGTTTAATTTAAAAGCTGACGCTACCCATTATAAGTGGGACATATTTTTATCTCAGAGAAAAATACCCTATTTAATGGGCAACTCTAGAGAATAACAGCTCAAACCGAAACTACCAGAGAACGGATAAATGAATTTGAGCAACCAATCAGGTGACTCCGTATTATCCAGACGTACTTATGGGTGCTGTACACCTTTTCCGTTGCAAATTCGCTCCAGATCTTGTTTTGATTACTGTTTGGAGAACGGAATGATAGGAAGGTCGAAAAATTGACAATGTGGAGGTGTCATTCGTATGCAAAGATTCAAAAGGTGCATCGGTGGGTTTGTTTTTTGGTGATTTGAGTGCCGAACCAGAAAATCAGTTTGAGAACGTATTTCGTTCGTTTTTAATTTACAGATTTCTTAGATACTTTTGATAAAAAGAAAACATAATCGAGGTGGATTGAGTGTAAATCAGCAGTGAGTGTCGGTGATATATGACACCAGCCTCCACACAGGATACATTGAGGCGATCCCTAATCGCAGTGCAGGTGTATTATTGCCAATTATCCAGCGCTTAGTGCTGCTTGGGACGACTATTCATACAGATGAATGGAGTAGTTACAGTCAGTTATCGAATCTGGGCTGTATTCATCAAGTGGTCAACCATACAAATGGTATTCGCAATCCTTTCGATGGAACTCACACAAATTCCATCGAAAGTTACTGGAGTCACCTAAAAAAACGTATCAGATCTGTGAATGGATCAAGAAATGCAATGATATACAGTTATCTCGATGAGTTCATGTACAGGACTCAGATTCAGATGATAAGGATAGAAGGCTCTTGTTGCCTGTGTTAATCTTCGCGATATATAACTCTGCAGAGATCCAGTTTCTCTTTGAAAGCGTTCACCGATGGAGCTGTTACCACTGAATCAGGTAAGCGGTTCCAGTCGTTGACCTCTCTGTGAGAGAATCTAAACTCCACACGTATTTTATTCGACCTTGGTTTAAGCACCTTCTTTTGGTGCCCCCGTAAATGTTTCCTCGAGGGAGAGAAAAGGTTTGAAAGGTCAATCCCCAAATCACCCTTGAATATACGGTAAGCCAAAATAAAGTCGCCTCTCCTCCTTCGGTATGTTAATGGGAAGAGATTTAAATGCTCCATCCTCTTATCATAAGGAAGGTGTGAGATACCACTTACTAATTTCGTTCCTACCCTCTTTACTCTTTCCGGGGTATGTGCCTCCTTTTTGAAGCATGGACTCGCCGCTTGTATGCAGTACTCTAGATAAGGCCTGACATATGCTGCATAGAGTACTTGGAACATACCCTCGTCTAATAGCTTGAAAGATCTTCGAAGTGCCCATTACATTCGAAAAGCCTTAGCTGCGGCTCGATTACAGTTTGCCGTTGTTTTTAAGTCATGGCTAACAATAATTCCTAAGTCCTTTTGTTCCCTAAAATCTGGCAGTTCTGTGCCCCCCATGGAGTACGACGTGTAAGACTTCTGACCTAGGTGCATTACCGCGCTTTTCTTGGAATTAATTTCCAGACTCCAAAGGTTAGCCCATTCGGTTAATTTGTCTAGATCGTTTTGTAATACCAACCTATCATCGCTACTATTTACTGTTTTCCGTATCTTAATATCGTCCACAAATAGTAAGGAAGATAAGGTAAGAATCTTTGGCACTTCATTTACGTATAATAGGAATAGCATGAGACCAAGTACAGTTCCTTGAGGTATACCACTTAGTACTGCTTTCCACCCTGACAGTACACCATTAACCCTTACTTTCTGCCTCCTATCCATCAGGTAGTCACTAAACCACTCACATAAGCGTTGATCTAATCCAAAATGTTTAAGTTTACTAAGAAGACCTAAATGGGATACCTTATCGAATGCTTTACTAAGATCGATAAATACAACGTCCAGTAGATGGTTTTTATCCCTGACCTCGACCCAATCTTCCCTAGCTAACAGTGCGTTTGTTAATCAGGATCGTCCTGGTCGGAATCCATGCTATTCCACTACCAGTAAGCCGTGTTTTTCCACATGAGCTAAGAGCGGATTTCCTTTGAGTTTTTCTAACACCTTAGCTATAATGTAGGTCAGACTTACAGGCCGGTAGTTAGATACTAACTGCCTGTTCCCATCTCTGAAGATTGGGGGCCAAGTTAAACTTCAGACACCAGTAACTACCAATCAGCCAACGACGTCGAATTATCCAATGAGATTCACGAACGTAGTTAAATGTTGTATAGCGCTTGATTCATTTCAGTGCGTGCCCTTACAAGGTTACGTTTGCATATTGAGGAGGATATTGTCTTTCAGTACTGCCTGGACTTAGGCTTGTTTCGAAAGGAGAGAAGTTGTTCGTGTGGTTGTGTAATGACTCTAAAAAATTGCTATTTCAACCGATGGTTGTGTACATCGTTGGGGAATATGCTGGAAGTGAGTTAGTATTAGAGAGGGTAATATTTTGTAGGAACTTTTTTGCTCGGTCGCATCTCTCCCTAACCCAGATTTTGTACATTTACA